TATATATATATATATATATATATATATATATATATATATATATATATAACCTCAGTTTGATTTTCACACAAGGCCACCAAAATTTCATGGTAGTGCCGGATGATGAGAACTTCCTTACATAATTTAAATTTTTCAACGACGTGACAACAATAACAAGATTTCCACGAGAACATAATAGCATTTCTTATGTTTATCGTGAGAGAGATGGGAAAGAAGAGGCACGGAGGAAATTGTTAAATTAGGGAAGAAGCTTTAATAAAGAGGTGTAGCATTTGTTGGATTAATCGGTTTAGTCAAATGATTCAAAAGTAGTTTTTATATCTAGGTGTATTTTAGGAAAGTTTTGTGTTTTTAGCTTTTTTTACAAGTATTTGTATTAGAGTCAAAGTCTTTTAGTTTAGTATAAATAGGGCTATGTTTAAGTAAAGTTATATTGAGATTTCCAGTAATAATTTCAAGGTTAACAAGTAATTCATCGGTTCTTGGTTTTTCTTATTCTGTATTTAATTCATACCTTGGGAAACAAGGTAATATCAGGTGGTATTACTAACACCTGGTATTAGAGCGAGGTGAAGACGGTGCCGTTTTAAGAGTCGACTTTCGAAGGAGAGGAGCCTTCGGGTGTTGGGTTGCCACTATAGGTGAAGTGGGGTGTTTGGCAGAGGTTTATTTATGCGGGGTGCAACAAACTCATGGTTTGATCGAACAAGAAGGTTCATGACAGTAGGGGCTATTTTGAGACCCTTTTACAGCATAAGAAGAAAACGGTATAGTGTTTTTTAGTCGACCTTTGTCCTGTGGAGACGGGGAGCACCGTACGTGATGAGAGAGGTTACCGGTGATAAACACAGGCAGTCTGTGGCTGTTAGTTATGATCAAAGAATGGTTTGTTACGAGACGTTTTCAACAAGGGGTGCTGCTCTCAGGTTTGAATAGTTCTTGATCAGTTTGTTTGTGATAAGGGGATACCGACATAGGTGCGAAAAGCGGGCGGGAAGGACCCATCAAAGAACGGTGATCGAAACAAAGGAAGAGATTGGAGAAACTACACGGTATGAACATTATGGCATTGGAGTTCAAATCGGATGGCTTTGGATGTGGCCAAGGAAGAGGTCGTTGATCCGGTAAAAGTTGAGATGGTAATGAACTTGTCTAACAGGATGACATGGTATATGTCACATGTGTTGTCAACAATCAAAGGGATTGAGAGAAGACTTTGGATGTGACCGAGGTGAAAGTCGGGTGTCCGGGAATGGTCGAGAATCGAGATGGTTCGAAAAGAAGGTGATTAAACATTGTTATGAACGAGCAGTACGACCAAACCGATTAAGGGGTGATTGTTGGATTAATCAGTTTAATCAAATGATTCAAAAGCAGTTTTTATATTTAGGGATATTTTATGAAAGTTTTGTGTTTTTAGCTTTATTTCCAAGTCTTTGTATTAGAGTCAAAGTCTTTTAGTTTAGTATAAATAGGACTATGTTTAAGTAAATCTATATTGAGATTTCAGTAATAATTTCAAGGTTAACAAGTAATTCATTTGTTCTTGTTTTTTCTTCTTCTGTATTTAATTCATACCTTGGGAACCAAGCTAATATCAGGTGGTATTACTAACAACATTAGTGTACTACAAAGTACACCTGTGTGAAGGCTTGTGGGCTCAACTAACGCCTAAAATTAGATAGAATCAAGCAAAGGGACCATGCGTGCAACGTTTACAAACCATAGGGACCAAGTGCATAGAGGTTTTCATTGTTGGCCTCAACAAGCCAGTTTTGGCAATCTAAAGGGACCAGTTTTGCCAAAAAGTTATGTAACTTTTGGCAATCTACAAATATCTTGTTTATCTTACCATTTGCAAAAATAAAATAAAATAAAATAAAATAAAATAAAATAAAGAAATTTGGTGAAGGCCAACAAAGTCAATAGTCAACGGACACCCGCTAGCAGCACAATAACGACCGGCACAAGAACCAGATGAAATCATCCCGTTCACTGCCGCAATTCTGAAGCTCATTTCTGGATACAAGAGATATTGTGAAGAATCAAAGGTCCAATCAGGAGAAGCTAAACGACGATGCTACCCACACCTATCAAAGATACCGAATCCTCTTTCATATTCCCAGACCAGACATGTCAACGTTTTACTGTTGCTGAAATTCAATCGGCGACCCAAAACTTCGACGAGGCTTTAGTCATTGGCCGGGGAGGATTCGGTAAGGTGTATAAATGTTCCAACATCGGGTCCATGAGCGAAGTTGCAGTCAAACGATTGCACTCCATGTCCAATCAAGGAGCCCATGAATTTGAGTCGGAAGTCAAGGTCCTTTCTATGCTGCGACATGGTAATCTTCTGTCTTTAATTGGTTATTGCAATGATGAAAGAGAGATGGTTCTCGTTTATGAGTTCATGCCTAATGGGACACTTGAAGATTATCTTCGCAAACCCAATTCCTCTTTATCCTGGTTACAACTACTGAAGATATGTGTAGGAGCAGCTCAGGGTCTAGACTACCTTCACAGGGGTACATCAGCTCAGCATGGAGTCATACATCGTGATGTGAAAACTTCTAATATTTTGTTGGATGCAAACTTTGTTGCTAAAGTTTCAGACTTCGGATTGGCTAAAGTTGGTTTAATGGATAGAACTCATGTGAGCACGGCTGTCAAAGGGACATTTGGGTATATGGATCCGTGCTACTTCTATACTGGAAAATTGACATGAAAATCAGATGTTTACGCTTTTGGGGTGGTACTGTTTGAAGTATTGTCTCGGAAAAAAGCGGTAGATTCAACCCTTGATGAAGACCAATGGGGTTTGGCAGGTTGGGCTCAAAAGAAAATCAAAGCGGGAAAACTCAATCAAATTATTGACCGGAGATTAGTCGGACAAATCTCCAGAAAATGCATGAAGGAGTTTGCAAGGATAGCACGCTACTGTTTACACACTGAACCAAAACAACGCCCTGCCATGGCCGAGGTTGTGGTCAAGCTCGAGTCTATTCTTTCACAAGAAACGGAAATTGCCAATTCTGATGATAGTGAAGAAGGATTTATTTACAAGCTAAGATCACTTTTCACGGGCAAAGTTGATGATGCAATAGAAAGCAAATACGATTTCAGCAGGTACCATGACTTGATACGAATCGAAGTTGATACTGCAATAGGAAGCAGTAAGGATGGAAGTTTTAGAACATTCACATATTCTGAATTGGCAAGTGCAACAAATGATTTCATGGAGGAGGTGCTTTCCCCAACTCTAAATGAATCCATTTACAAAGGATGGGTCGATGAAAGGACATATGCCCCAACAAAATGTGGCATTGGTTTGCCGATATATGTTAGGAAGATCGTGAGTCTCTCACAGAAGGTACTTCTTCCAATATGTGAAATGATGATGTGGGACTTACTTCGCATAGCATAATGAATGAACATAGATTTTTCATGCATTCTAACATTTTTTAGCCAATTTGGCTATGCAGAAGGTCATCAAACTAAAAAACTTCAATCATTCCAAGTTTGTAAAACTCTTGGGATATTGCTGCAACAAGGAAGAACTGTTTTGTGTTTATGAGTTCATTCATGGCAAAAGTTTGGATAAATATCTTTACAGAGGTACGCATCTCTTCTAGTTCTAATTGTAATGAACCTTATTGTCAAATTGACAGTTGGTAATATTACCGTGCTTTTGAGTTGTTGAAGCATAATAATATATATGAAAGAATGAAAATCACAATTTCTTTTTCTTGGGTTACTTGATATGCAGAGCAAGCTACAACTTCACTTTCTTGGCTTGCACGATTGAACATAGCAATAGGAGCAGCTGAAAGCCTGTTATATTTACATAAGAGGAACCAGGCAGCATATAGCCAATTTAAAACCAGTCACATATTGGTGGATACGGTAATATACTCTGCAGCTGATGTGCTTGCATTTTTAACGTAGAATGAAAGTAAATAACACAAGAGTGTTAAGGTTTCACAAAGAAGAATTTAATTCATATCCAAGGCATTCTTTTTGAAATTTATTAATTCACAAGGAAGAACTAAATTTAACAGGTATTGCTGTATTGCCATATTTCAGAAAATCAAAATTGTTAGAAAATCACTGAAATCAAGAAACTTACAATATTTTCCAACCAGAAAGAAATATTTAATCTCATTTATCCATAAGGAATCTGCTAAGTCCTCAATATGCTCAGCATCAGTTTTGCATCTTAGCCTCACATCAGTTTTAATTTCTTTTTCTATACCTTTCATGCTTGTTTTCAGGATTTTAATGCTCGGCTTTCGGATTTTTCTTTTGTTTCTTACTCATTCCAAATTGATCGATATTATGCTGCCCCTGAATGGTTTCGTTACCGAGCAGATAGATTTGAGAGCCTTTTCCAGGAAGAAGACACATTTGTTAGTCTTCATGGACTATCACCTGCAGATGGTATTAGAAGTGAAACATTTTTTATATTCTTATTATATATTTGAATGATATCCCAACCAAATCTTTTCCATGAACTTAGCCCTATGGTTAAAAAACTTGAAGGGGCGTTTGGTGTGTAGAATATTTTGGAAGGAATTGGAATTTGTCAAAAGATTTCGAATCTAAAGGAATTGAATTCTGTCACACATTTGGTTGGCAGAAAATGGAATGGAATTCCTAGTGTTCGTGAGCGAGAAGAGGGAAAACATATGGAGATGCCTTTACTTGTGAAATTAGAGGGTTAAAAAGATATTGGAGTACTTCTATCTAACAAGGAGGAAATGCTGGCGATTGAATTCCATGGATTCAGGATGGAATGTTGAAATCTCTTGCTCAAAGGATTCTTTGAATACCAAATGTAGGATTAAAATGCAACTGAATTCCAATTCCTACCAAATCTTACAGAATCCAACGTCCAAACGCCCCCTTACTTATTGATGCATGCACCAATGGCTAACCCATCAAACTCCACTTTGACAGATTTTACGATGAAAAATGAGATCTATGCTTTTGGAGTGGTGCTGCTGGAAATACTAACCGGGATGATGGTGTATGATGAGGAGAGACCTGTCGGAAAGGAAAATTTGGTGGAATGGGCTATGCCATTGTTAGCAAATGAGGTAAATCTTAGAATGATTATGGACCCACAACTTCAACATAACGATTGTCCTCCAAAAGGAGCATTCAAGTTGGCTCAACTTGTTTTAAACTGTCTTCATGGTAAAAAAGATGAACGCCCCTCAATGGAAGAAATTTTGCTGGTGTTGAATCAATGTTATCAAGAAGAAATCGAAAGAGTTTGACGCTTAAAAGTCAAACAAATAGTTCTTTTAGACCTGTGAATGTAAAGTATATGATCCTGGAAGTCAGCTGAATAAATAGGCAGGAAAGATAGTGAATGTTAGATCCATTTGTAGAATGTATAAATCGAGTTAAATATTTTTCGAGATTGTCGGGTTGCTCATTTAGTGCTCCTGTCCAAAGCCAACAAAGTAATTGGCCACTAGATCATGCATGTGGGACTACTTTGAGTCAAAGCATGTTGTATTTCCAAAGGTTGGATTATAAGAACCTTTTAGTAACGATAAGATTACATGAACAAAGATTATCTATCTACTCCTAGTTTTATGAATATTGTTGTATTTGATTTACTCTTAGCATGTATAGTGTCTTCATTATAAATATAAATATACAATACACTACAAATTCATTGGAGATTAATCATAATTACTCTTAAATGGTATCAACCATATTCCGATCCTCTTCTATTCATCTTTTCTAAGCCACCCGCTCCATCTCCTATTTTCGCAATCACCATGGCTAATGGCAGTACCTCCCCTCGCTCTCAATACTATCTTACACATGCTTACTATTAAGCTCTCTTCATCGAACTATCTTCTGTGGAAAAACCAAATCATCCCACTTTTCAAATATCAAAACCTTTTTTCACACATTAATGGTGATTCCACTCGTCCATGTAAGACGATTTTGGTTGAAAACAAGTCTTCTCCTAATTTATTGAAGAGGATATGGCAGAGATTTTAGGTCTCTAGACTGCTTGAGAATTGTGGACTACCCTTGAGTCGGCCTACAACCATGACTCGGTTGAGAGAATGCAAAATCTCAAAGATTCTTGAAGACAACTTTAAAAAGGTTCGTGTAACGCTCGGTTCCTGGTATGTAATTTAAATCAATTTATTCATTTTTGTATGGGAACTCAACGAGTTGGAGGCCCCAAAATCGTCGTGTAACAAACTATATTTTCTTGTTGAAATAATGTAGTATTATAAACATGTGAACTTACCAGCTATTTTATAGTTGACCCTCGTTTTTGCATGTTTTTCAGGGAACGGTCGGTGAATCAATAAAATGCCAATATGATTTAAGTTGTTACTTTTGTTATGTATTAAACTATGTATTGTGAAAACTGAATGTAATTGTTTTGTACGCACTGTAAACTTAAAAGGCTTAATGTTTATGGTTTGTACTCCTATTTACCTTTTGTGATGAGACCTTAACCTGTCACTCTTCATGTTTTCGCTTTAGCGCAGTGTGACAGATTTGGTATCAGAGCCTAAGGTAATAAGAGCCTAAGGTAATAGAGAACACTTGTCTTCCCTTTTCCTTGGGAAGACCTAAACTATAACCGTTGAGTTATTAAAACATTCCATTTAGTATAACAAATTTCGTTAATGGACTAGTGGACGTTAATTATACATAGCATGATCAACTATGTATAATTGAAGAAGAGCTAGTGCAAGACCGTAATTGGTTACAGTGAGTGGTATGAATAACCTAGGTTAATCTTAAACATCAAACAAAACAAAAATTCACTAGGATGCTAAAATTTGTCTAAACATTAAAGATTTCCGTGTACAGCCTAGCCATGTCAAACACTAGATCTCAAGCACTTGGATCGGCAAATGAGTCAGGTTACGTCACTGCACGTCCAAAATTCAACCGCGACTCGAGCACTGAACCGGTCGAAGATTCATCTATGGGATCGGATACTGGAGACGAAGTGAGCAGCCGGGCATCGACTAAGGAGACTTCAGCCCTGTTGATACTCGACCCTTCTTGACAGCCGACACCTCAGCCGCCCCTTTATGGACTATATCGCAGGAGGACAGCGAGAAAGAGCGCGCGAATGCCAAGAACCCATGCCAGTCCCTCCTGCAACAAGAAACGGGCGTCCCGAGCCCAATCAGCCTTGACCCCCAGTCATAGGGATGCCTTATATGTGCACAACCGAAATGAATTATCAGGAGCGATACAGCATGGAAGCCATGGCCCGAGACCTGCACGACGCCCGTAATAGGATTGCTTATCATCATCACAACATTATTGACATGTCAGAGGTGGTGGATGCGATGTGTGGTTATGCATACACTGTTAGGAGGATGGCAATTAGAGCTATGATCACTAGCGCTATCGTGGGAGGAATAGCATTGATTCTGACAGTGACACTTGTCTGGGTGATTGTGATTTGGGGTTGATTCTAAGTGTCATGGTTTATGTTTTATGATTTTTGGTTTATAAATTATGATGTATTTGATGGGTTTTAGGTAAAACAAATAAACTAGAAAACAATTCCTAAGTTCACATGCAACCT